AGGAACTCGATCAATTTGATAAAAATCAAATCTGGGAACTGCTACCTAAGCCTGCAAATGCTACTATAGTTGGAACAAAATGGATTTTCAGAAATAAGCTTAATGTAAATGGAAAGGTTGTGAGAAACAAATCCAGACTAGTAGCCCAAGGATACTCACAGCAGGAAGGAGTCGACTATGATGAAACCTTTGCTCTAGTAGCTCGACTAGAGTTTATACGAATTATTCTTGCATATGCATCCTTCAAATGATTTAGACTTTTCCAGAAGGATGTCAAAAGTATTTTTTTAAATGGCTTTATTGATGAAGAGGTATATGTAAAATAATCTCCTAGTTTTGAAGACTCAAAATTCCTTTACCATACGTATAAGTTGACTAAAGCTCTGTATGGACTCAAACAAGCTCCACGAGCCTGGTACAAAAGGCTTAGCTCATTTCTACTTGACCATGGCTTTATAAGAGGTAAAGTAGATGCTAGATTATTTATCAAAAGATCATCAAGAGGTAATCTTATTATTCAAGTTTATGTTGATGGTATTATCTTTGGAAGTGCTAACCCTCTTTTGTGCAAGGAATTCGCTAGTCTTATGCAAAGTGAGTTTGAAATGAGCATGATGGGAGAGCTTATGTTTTTCCTTGAACTTCAAATTCAACAATCTGAAGAATGAACTTTTGTGTGCCAGAAGAAATATACAAACAAATTAATTCAAAAGTTTGGCATGAGCAGTGCTAAAGCAATTGGTATACCAATGAGCCCGTCAACAAGTCTCGACAAGGACTAAAAAGGAAATCCAGTTGATGAAACTAAATATCGTGGAATGATGGGCTCTTTGCTTTACTTGACTGCCAGTCGACCATATATTATGTTTAGTGTATGTAAATGTGCCAGGTTTCAGTCATCTCCTAAGAAATCGCATCTTACTGCAGTAAAGAGAATAATTTGTTATCTCATCGGAACTATCTCTTATGGACTATGGTACCCATGTTCTAACAATTTTAAGCTAGAAGGTTTGTTAGATGCTGATCTTGCAGGTGATAAGGAAGAAGGAAAAAGCACCAGCTGAACATGTCAATTAATGGGAAAGGAATTAATATCATGGAACAGTAAGAAACAAGGCTCAGTTGCATTATCCACAACGAAGGCAGAATATATTGCCATTGGGCAATGCTGTGCAAAGTTACTATGGATGTCTCATCAACTGGGTGACTATGAGCTATTTTTTAAACCTATTCAAATATTTAGTGATAACTCTAGTGCTATATGTCTCTCAAAGAATCCTGTGCATCATTCTAGGGCTAAGCATATAGACATTAAACATCATTTCATTAGAGATCATGTCCTTAAGGGAGATATAGAATTATCATTTGTTGGCACCACTGATCAATTAGCAGACATTTTTACTAAACCTTTACTTGAAGATAGATTTTGGTCCCTAAGAGAACTACTTGGCATTATTTCGCTTGATCATAAAAATTAGGGGCTATGTATTAATTCTTGTGTGTCTAATGTTTTTAGTTTTATTCTCTCTGTAATTATGCATTAATTAAGCGCCTCCGATTTCACTCTCTTTTCCCATCAGTCGCAGCTTTCAAGAAAGGAAAATCAATCATCATGACCCTTCACTGACACCTTTTTCTTTCCTACACTCAACCGTAAAAATCCCTTCTTTTTAATCCTCTGAACCATTCTCCCATGTCTTCATTGTTCCTATCGCTCAAAAACCCTTCTCCAAAATCCTTCAAACCATTCTTCAAAATCCTTCAATGGCTAAACACACTAAGAATTCATCTGCCTCCACTAGAAAAAGTACTCGTTCCAAGGGAAAACCCTCTTCTCAGCCTCCGGAAAAAGTAGACCTAGGGTCTGATCACTCAGAAGGGTTTGCCTCTTCTCATACAGAACCATCTGACCACTCTCACCGAATAGGAAATATCTTGGCAAAATGCCCTTTTACCCCCAAGAAATCCAAAATAGATCTAAACTTCTCGATTTCTCTAGAGTCCGACCTCAATTTCTAGGATACCCCAAATAAGGATTTCTTTGTTACTCTGAAAGACAAGCCTATTGCTCACAGTAAAGTAATCGACCTTGATGACATGGAGGCCCTCAATTGTAAGGTAAATGATCTGTTTGTTTTTCAAGGATGGTCTAAATTCCTCTCTGTACCCCCTCCCAAAGTCTATGAACCTTTAGTGAGAATGTTTTATGCCAATCTTTGCTCTGGCAAGCCTGATAAGTTAGAATTCCTTGTTCTAGGACAACACATTGTCCTTGATTGTGCCATGTTTGACTCAATTTTTCAATGTAAGTGCTCTGGTTTTCCTATGCTTTTCAAGAATACTTGGATTGATGATTTCAAAATTTCTTTTGATCAAGCAAAACGTTGTATTGCTGAGTGTCTATCTGATTTCCTTCCTAGCCAGTTAGGTCCCAGTGATGTTAGTTTCGAAACCCGAGTTCTGGCCCACATTGTTGCAACTACTCTTCTTCCTCGCACTGGCCTACTCTCCACCTTCTCTCAACGAGACACCTTTCTTATCTGCTGTCTTGTGCCCAAACTTAAGGTTAAACTATCCTCATGGGTCATAAACTTCATGATTGAGAGTGTTGATGATCCCACCAGTCTACCCTATGGTATGGCTATCACCCACATCTTGAAAGCCCACAACATTTCTATCTCAGAATACCCCTTTGTCTCTGTCTCAAAGTCCTACAACTCTAGAGCCTTTGCCAGTATGGGGTATGTGTGTACTAAAGGTTCCTGGGTGAAGAAACAGGAAGGTGAAGTCAAGAATGTTTAGAGTGATTCTAAGATCAAAGCCTCTGTTTACCATCATAGTGTAGGTGATCCTGCTCTTATAGAGAAACTGACTGCTATTGACAACAAGTTGATCATCATCAAGATGAGGACAACTGTAACTCAATCCACTGTTGGGGACATCCATGCAATCTCCATAGAGACTGGGTCCGACGTTTCAAAGATGAGGGTCAAAATTCTCAAACTTGCAGAAAACGCAGTCAAAGCCTTCAAGGAAGTACATGACAGGATTGATGGAGTGATAGTTTTAGCTAATGCCACCTTTGAGCATATGAAGGAGGCGATTTACAACACTCTCACTTATTTCTTGCGTCGTTAGTTGTGGATGTTTCAGACAATGTTTTTGCTATTTTGCCTTTTTGGATTGGATAACCAGTCGCTGGATATTTTTCTTTACTTATGCTAAACTCTGCATGCTTATAATTTGTAAATATTTGCCTATGATGTGCCTGTTTCTACTTAATTTCAACTGTAAATATGCATATCCCCTCTTTGTTGATATCAAAAAGGGGGAGAAAAGAAGTCATACATTGTAGGACAAATAGCAGCGTTTGTTGAGGGGGAGTCGACTGAAGTATATGCAATACCTGTTGAGGGAGAGTCGACTGAAGTATATGCAGCACCTGTTGAGGGGGAGTTGATTACAATGGAGTAGGCCAACCGGGAAGTAAACTGTTGTTTATATATTTTTTTTTTGTCATCATAAAAAATGGGAAGATTATTAAATATGAGTTTCAATGATGAAAAATAATATATCACATTTAGTGCACGATCACAAGGGATAAAACAAAGAAATCAAAAAGCCCTATCATTCAAGTATAGATTAAGGAAACAATCTATTAACGGGAGCTCTAGAAGCAAAGCAAAGGACATGAATCAATGATTAGAGATAAAAAAAGGAAGAAGCAGCGGAGATCCGGAAGAAGAATCAATCAATGATTTGATAGATGATTGACGGAAGCTATTATAGGAAGGTCCCAAATCAAAGGGAAACAAGATTGCAAAGTGCTGCACTGGAGATCGTTGAAGCTAGAAATCAAGGGATCTATCGCTGATCACTCAAGTAACGGAAAAGATATGCCTAGCGGATGAAAAGCCTGTCAAGACCACAAATCAAGGAAGATCAACGGAAACTCGACTTTATTCTTGGAAAGAATCAATTTATGATTCCTTTCAAGGATCAACTCCCTTGGGTTTCTAATCTCTCAAGATTCACGTCAATCAAGAGGTCTCGCGAAGTATATATATATATATGTTCCAGATTTGAAGAATACATTCTTTGAACGAACCATTATCACTCTTTTTGTTCTACTCCAAGCAAACATTATACTTCTCCTTAGATCTGTTGTATAATTAGTGAGAGAAGAAAGAAAGATAAATACTGGTGAGGCATTGTATCAAGAAGAGAAAAGTGACATAGATATTGAGCCGTTGGTGTAAAGCTACATCAACTATCTTGTACTCGAGATACTTCAAATACTGAAAGAGATCATCCTTACAAGCTAAGGGGACTGGACGTAGGAATCACATTGAATCTGAATCAGTATAAAACTCCGGGTGTCTTTATTTCCTGTTCTTCATTTCTGCATTATTATTATTTTGTTATTATCTCTAGTCGACTAACTGGCAAACTAGTCTACTTACAATGAAAAAAAAAGTCAATTCACCCCCTATTGTAATTTCACTAATATTTGTATGCAAAAATATCAGCAAATTGTACTTTAAGTATGATGTTGTAAAAACAATTTTACAGCCTCAATGAATAAAATTATACTATTTAACATTTTTACACACCATCTATAGAAGCCACTGAATAGTTGTATTGTCTAAATTATCCTTGATTTCTCTTTAAGTATCTAACTTAATTAATACTCAACTAATTAGGATAGTAAGATTAGATTTGGAAAAAATAGTAGTATAAATTAATTTTTATTTTGCTAAAATGTCAAATATTTTAGACAAGTTTAGTTTGCAAAATTGCCAGCTTTTTAAATAGAAGTCATCATTCGGACTTGCTTATTGTTATTGATTTCTACTGATCTTCTATTGTGGGATCACAATTTTCATGCTCTAGATTGTATTATATTTCTTCAAAATCAAGAAATATATAGGAATAAAAAAGAACAAATTAGAAAAAAAATGCGTGTGCATGAGACTGCTACATGTAAAGAAATAGCGAGCTTAGAAGAATATTCATTGTATAGTATATCAATTACGTATCAAATTGTACAACTTTTGTCTCGAGAGAAAAAAAGAAAAAGAGAGAATAATAATATTGTAAATTTCAAAAAGAAAAATACTAACAGACACTCTTTATAATCTGGCGTCTTTCATCAGCACAATTCGGGATGACTCAGTCCTCAAAGGCCTTTCGCCATCTCCATTAATTGCAACCTCACAAATTTCTACTGCCTAATCGAATTTTCTAATCTTTTAACAAACTGATTTTTCAGTACATCTCAGTAGTGGCCGAGATTCACCAAAATTCTCCACACTATTCCGGTACTTTGCATGGCATGATTTCTGAAAATCCTCAAGGCTCAATGAACGGGTCGGGTTACCCGATCCGGATCTAGAGACAAACCGAAGGATCTCCTCGAACAGGAACTCGTCGCAAGGTATAGCCAAGGTTCCATGGTTGGAAAAACCGTACTCTTCCTCGGCCTGAATCAATAGCTTCCTAAAAATTGGATGATTTAAGTATGTCGCCCGCACGACGAATCTCCGGCAACTACTGCCTACGGAGATTGCCACGTGTCCGGCAGGCACATCAGGAGCTATTCGTTTAGATGAAGACGACACAGCTCTTTTTCTCCAATGCCGAAGCATCTGACGAATCTTAACGATGTAACGGATCTTCATCGATTTTCCGATCTCCGGCGACATCTCTAGTGACAAAATATGAGTGGTGTGTGAGAGTGGAGAAACTTTTCCGGTTTGCGATTTGGAATTGTAAGGAGTTGTACTCTACGCGGGTCTCTTATATAGACCGAATAACTGAAAGGACGAAATTGACCTTGGTAAGTTGAGGATATCTACGGGATTGCGACAGGTGCTCTAAGGCCCATGTGGTGGGCAGAGAAAAAGTGAATATGATTAGTTGCCGTTGTGGGACCCAATTTTACAACCAACGAGTCTCTCTTCTGAATCTCTGTGGATTTTATTTTCATATTATTGAATTTTTCTTTTTCGTTTTCTTTTTTTGTCTCATTTTGATGATTGCGAATCAATTTTTTTTAATATCATTAAGTAGTGTAGTGAGATAAATGGAATCTCTCTCAAAAAATGAAGGTTCCGATTTTGAGTTTTAAATATGGAGAAAGTTCTATAAGTAAATATTTTTTTTAGTGGACCTTACACAATATGAACTCAATTTAATTAGTCAGTTAATAACTTAATATTTAATACCGGATAAATCAAGCACAAAAAAAAAGGAATCAATTTGATAGTTTTTGGAGCTTAGTTAAAGAAAAATTAATTTGATTTATCAAATATATTCTTATCACAAGTAAAAAGCTAAGTATTTGTAAACTACAAAAAACAATGTGTTAAGAGTTGCAATTATTTCATATTAAATACAATCAAAAAGAAAAAAAAAGTGACAGATAAACGGGAACAAAATTAGTACTAAATGCATCTTCTCCTTTCTATTTTCGTACAGACATTAAATGGCATTAAAAGTTTTGTGTGGCAATATTTGGTTAATCTTATTTTAGTTTTGGAATGTCTTGAAGTTTACTCTAATATGTTTTCTCTCTATAAATTTGTTTCCATTTTAGTTCAAACCAGATGTTATTATACGACATAGACTTATTTGAAAATATGCATGTGCAAATGGAAAGATATGAAAATTGTACTCACTTATTATGTCTTCGTATTTTTAGAAATGTTGATCCTTTTTATTAATGTGGGTGTAGCCTACTTTTTTAGTCAAATTATTTTTTAAAGAAAATATATTGAAATAGTCAATGTTAGTTTTAGATGGATCCATGAGAGAGTAGATTAACTAACATCAAATTTCCAGGATCTGAAATAAACGAACAATTAACAGATTAATTAACCTCATAAGCATATACTTTAAAAATACAACTAATATCACGTTACACCCCTTGATTTTCTTTTTCTATTTTAATTTTTAATTACGGACCCAAATTATTTGAAGATTTCTTGTCTGTCAAGGATCTTTCTATCCCTGTAATCCTACACTAAAAAATGGAAATAGTAAAGATTTGGGGAATATTTATGGGGCCTGCATTCATATTGCATCTAACCACATGTAATTATTTTGCTAACTAACTAAATAATCCTAATTTAAGGCAGACAAATTTTTCTCATCAGTCACCTCACAAACTATATGGGGGATACGTTATCCTTTGTAAAATCATTTTTCACCGATTCCACTAAAATTGGTAAAGTAGCAGAGGAAGTGTATAGGGAAAATGACATTGTATAGTCACTCTTAAAATAATATTCGTAAAAACATATATTTTTTGCATAAAGATATATTTTATATGTTATATACAAATTTTATACACTTTTTCGTTAATGGATTTAAATAGTTTCTGATACGGATCTAAAAGTGAAAAAGCCCAAGTGTATAGGTATCCATCAGTGGCCCAATTAACAAACAACGACTGAATTGAAAACAAGTCCCAAACAACATGAAACCCGATAGATCCTTGCCCAATTAAATATGTTATTTCGTAGAAGAGCATCATTGGTGTTATAAGCAGTAGAAATGGCGTAGGATAACCACTTTTTAACATGGTATTTAGTTTTTATCCAATATTTTTAATGCTGAGCAAAAATAGTCACTAGTCTATTAAAATTAATATAAAAAGATATTTTTACCCTTTCTTCATGAGTGTTGTGTAAATATTAAGGATATGGTGTCCTTAACATTTACACTGTACACATGAAGTTAAGGACGCCATGTCCTTAACATTTACACTGAACATTTGAAATTAAAGACATGATGTCCTAAAGTTTAACAACGAAATGTGTAAATACAAGACACTTTGTCCTTAATATTTACACAACATTCATGAAGTTAAGGACATCATGTCCTTAATATTTACACAACACTCATAAAGTTAAGGACACTATGTCGTTAACATTTACACTGTACACATGAAGTTAAGGACACCATGTCCTTAACATTTACACTACACATATGAAGTTAAGGACATGAGGTCCTAAAGTTTAACAACAGAAGGTGCAAATACAAGTTAAGGACATTATGTCCTTAACATTTACACTGCACACATAAAGTTAAGGACGCCATGTCCTTAACATTTACACTGCATATATGAAGTTAAGGACATGATGTCCTAAAGTTTAACGAAAAGTGTAAATACAGGACACTTTGTCCTTAATATTTACACAACATTCATGAAGTTAAGGACACCATGTCCTTAATATTAGCATAGGGGTATTTTCGTCCGGGCAGGTAAAAAATTATTAAGCACTGACTAAAAAATAAATACATTTTAAACGGTGATTAAAGAATAAAGATATCTCTAATTAGTGGTTAACCGTGCACTTCCGCCTTATAAGTAACAAGCAAACGTTTCATTCTTATGCATATTATACATACACACACAAATTTTTGAAGTATGAAATCATACTTTCTAAACAAATTACAGTCAATAGTCAAAAGAAAATTAAAATAAAAATTTTAAAGCTCTCAAAATGAACAAGCCATGGGTTAAAGTTTGCACAAAATGATCCTTAGTATAAATGAAGAATAACACAAGGTGTGAAGTGTGCACGAGACATTCTTCACCGATTGGGGCATTAACTTCAAGAGACGTAACCATATATTAGCGTCTTGAACGTTCTAAGACCGTCTCATTTAGAGACGGATGTAACATTTGCACAATAGATACATCCGAATAAAAAAATAACATATATATACTCCATTTGTTTCAATTTATATGAATTTATTTAATTAAGCAAGAACTTTAAGAAAAAAGAGAAGATTTTTGAACGTGTGATGTAAAATGAGGTATATATATTTTGTGTGGCTATAAATTATTGTATTAAGGTAAATTGTTTCCAAATATGGAAAGGGTCATTCTTTTCTGCACGGACTAAAAAGAAAATATGTTCACATAAATTAAAACGGAGGGAGTATAATTTAAAAAATATTAAATCTAATAATTTTTCCACTATATTAGAAGTGTCAGTGCATCAGGTGAAGCAGGGTACTCTCGGGGGTCTAAAGCCAAACTTTAATGGGAGGCCTTATTTGTTTTTAAAAAAATCCTATATATTTTATTTGAAATTTTTTCAAGCTTTTTCAGAATAAAATTTTTAATAATTCTTTGCATAAACCATTTAATCTCTCATGTAACATTATTAATCTTAAGTAATAGAACCCGATTCAAGAAGTTGATAACTTTATATCAGAACAATTTTTTGATGTTTCAATATACTTGTCTTAATGATGGAAACCCGAGAAAAAACAAAAAAAAAATAGAGTTTAAAAGCGTATTATTAATTTTCTAATGATAAATATAATATTTTCTTTATGTAAAATATTTTACTTTTCTACTTTAAAATACTTAATATTTTCTAAAGAGCCCCACAAGAAGAGTTGTAGTGGGATGGATATGATCTTTCCTTCCTTAATCGGAGGTATTCGATTCGAGTCTTAGGAATAAAAAAATTCTTTCTAAGGAGCGGTTTTCACTTTAATAGACTTTACATGGTACGAATTCAAATCACTCAATGCCCTAAATCAAATATCGGACATCATATAGGAATTGAAAAAAAAATTGGGGCCTCTAAAATTCTAAGGCCTAAAGCCCCAGTTTAGTGGCTTCACCCTAAAGGTGACAGGGGGCCGGTCCGGTCCGGGTTGAAGAAAAATGTGGGCGGCCGGTCACCAATCCGGGCCAGTATCATTTTTTCCAATCGGATTTACTGGGTCCGGGCCCATCCGGTGATTTAATGAACCGGAAGGGTTATGGGCCAAAGGGGTCAGGCCGGGCCGATTTTTTTTAATTATATTTTGTATAACTACTGTAATTTATATTAAGATAAAGTAAAAATATAAAACAAAAAAATAATCTTATAAAATGAGTGTTTGAATAAAGGATGCAAAGGCTTTAAAATCCTTATATTTGAATATTTCATTAAAAATTTAAGATAATAGAATACAATGAAGATGAAAAAAAATTGCACTTATAATTTGCAAGTTCTTTTTTTATTTCAAACTTGCAAATAAAAGTTTACATTCAAAGGTTTTGCATTGCCTTGGTAAGTTCTTCATAATCAATATGAACTTCTTGGCCATCTTCTAGAGTGTTAAATTCAGATGGGTGACCATGTGTTAATATATCTCCAAGTTCCTTATCTTCTGGTTTATCAACATCTTCACGTCCATGATTTCTTCGTTCTGATCTAATCCAATCTCTGAAACATACTAAAACTTCCAAAGCATTGCTTCCCAATGAGTGACGGGTGTCTCCTAATTGTTGTCTTGCTTGACTAAATGCACTCCCTGATGCAACAGTTGAAATTGGCACATTCAGCACGTCCCGAGCCATAGCGGAAAGAACATGAAATTGCTTTTCATTCTCATGCCACCATTCCAACGGTGAAAATTACTTTGTGCGAGACTCTGATTGCTTTTGCAAGTAAAATTGAAGTTCATTAATGTTCCTGCTACTGGTTTGAGTGGAAGAAAATGTAGACCAAATATTATAACCATCAATGCCTTCATCTTCATCCATAGTAGTAGATGCAGTAGAAGTAGTACAATGCATAGTGGGATTAACATTTCCTACATTAATAGCATCATCATCAATTATATTTGCATAATAATTATATAATTATTGTAAATAATCATCTAGCTTGTTCATACAACAATATATATATATATATATATATATATATGAGGTTTCAGTTGGTCCAATCTCTATATAAGTATATAAAGCATTGATTAATTGGTGACAATTAGACATCTTAATAAAAGGATTTAAAACAACACTAATTAAGTAAATAGGAGGAGTTGGAAAGAAATATTTTTTGAATTTGGCTTGCATTTTTTCAACAACATCCATATATTTTTCTTTCTTCTTAAATTCAG